TGAGTCGGACTATATATACATAATAGTCTCAAGGCCAAAATCCTCTTACAGTCTCCTTTTCATGACCTCCCTCACGTTGAATATTTATTTGTTGAAATTACCGCCATTTCCTCTCCTCTATTGTATGTTGTTGTCTACCGCCCTCCTCGTGTTCTATTTGACCAACTCTTTGAATCCTCCCTTGTCAACCTGGTTTCCTGCTACTCCAATATCATCATCTCCGGCGATTTTAATGTAAATATGCTCTCAGAATCTCCCGACAAATACTATCTCAATGACCTAATATTTTCTCTCAATCTTTATCTTGTCCCTTATTCTTCCACTCATCACACTCAGTTCTCTGACACCTGGTTAGACCTCCATATCTCTGACTCACCGCTTAAAATCCTTTCCTCCTCTCAACACCCTGTACCCTTTCTATCATCAGACGACCTGATCCAAATCTCGTACGACCTACCCGTGAAATCATTTACTCCCAAAATAGTATCATATCGCAATCTAAACCTTTCATATGAATCCCTTCAACCTGACCTGGATTCTGCCCAACGGGATACCATATTTTCCTATACCTCCATTGACCCTATGATATCCACCCTTACCTCAAACCTACAATACACATTAGACATCCATGCTCCTCTGAAAACCAGAATCTTATGTCGTCCCACTGCTCCTTGGCTGACTCCTGAAATAAAGGGAATGATAAAGAAAAGGAATGCAGCAAGGCGCAAATACCGTTGAACCCGCTTACCTGCTGATTATGCGTCTTTCAAACAACTCCGTAATGCAACCCAATCCACAATCCGACTTGCTAAATCCAACTACTTTCATAATGCCCTTTCCAATGCTCCCGATTCCAAATCAAAATGGAACCAGATTCCAATAACCTCATTTCCCTCCCTGTGACTCCAGATGATCTTAATGACCATTTTTTATCTTTTGCTTCTAATCCTTCTCCTACTCATGATATTGAACACCATAATTTCAATCCTGAAAACTTCTTTTTTTCCCATGTGTCTTAAGACGAAGTACTTTCCACTATCCTCAAATCCCACACCAATGATTACGGTCCTGACAATATTCCAGTAAAACTAATAAAATCCAGCCTTCCTACCCTTATTATCATATTTACAACTTCTCATTGCAAAATTCCACATTTTCCTCTTCCTGGAAAACTGCACTCGTCCGACCATTGAGTAAAACATCTAACCCTTCTTCACAGAACGACTTCCGTCCTATTTCTCTTCTTTCCAACCTCTCCAAAATCAACTTCCCAACTTCCTAGAAGAACGTTCCTTCATCAATCCATTCCAATCTGGCTTCCAACCCGGCTATTCAACGCAATCTGCCCTCCTTAAAATAACCCATGACCTCCAAAACTCCATTGAACATCAAAACCTTACTATCCTCATCCTTCTAGATTTTTCCAAAGCGTTTGATACAGTTGACCATAACATCCTTCTTACCAAATTGCAAAATCTTCCTCTATCCAACAGTGTTCTACGTTAGTTCAAATCCTTCCTTTCCGATCGATCTCAGTATGTAGTCGTCCCAGATCAACCTCCTTCAAAGACACTTCCCCTCTCCTGTGGTGTTCCTCCTTGTCTCCTACTCTGTTTGCTATTTACATTAATGACCTTCCCAACCAGATCCATCACTCCCAATACCACATCTATGCTGATGATTTCCAAATATACCTTTCCTTCCCCCCTTTCAACCTATGAGCCACCACAAAAAAGCTTCAAGAAGATTTAAATAGAATATATGACTGGACAGGAGTTAACAAGTTGAAGTTGAATGCGGAAAAGACCAAGGCAATCTTAATAGGCTCCAATCACCTCCTCAAAACTGTTCCTAACTTTCCAACCCTCTTGTTACATGATAATCCCATTAAATTTTATCCCATCATCAAAAACCTTGGAATAATCTTCGATCAAACCCTTTCCTGGAAAAACCATGTGTCCAATATCTCCTAACGTACCTTTTCCACCCTAAAACACTTAAATAGCCTGCGACACCTTTTTCCTTTTGAAATCCGTAGACTCCTGGTCACCTCTTTAATATTTCCCCATTTCGACTATTGCTGCACGGTATATGGGGGCGTCTCTGGGGATCTCGAGGCAAAACTAAAACGTTTGATAAATTGCTTTGTACGATTCATCTTCGGGATCTCAAGAGACGCCCCTGTTTCCTGTTTCTATGAAGAATTGATGTGGCTTTATCTTTCCAACCGTATTTCCTGGCATCCTTCCTCTTCCAAGTAATTCACTCCCGCCGTCCTTCATACATCGCCGAGCTCCTTCAATTTAAATCCTCTGTCCACTCCCGCAATACCCGTTCCCGGTCCTCAGATCTATATATAATGGCCCACCAAACCGCTGCTATTTATTATTCGATCCTCTTCCCTATGGAACTCCACCCCTCCCCACATCCGTCAATCCAAAACCCTTCCTACCTTTAAATCCCAACTGTTTAATCATTTCTTATCCATCCAGTCCTCATCATAAAATTGTAAATAGTTACTACTGTAAATATGAATATAAATTATTAGATCGTTCTTTATTATTTTTACTTCATGTTTATTTTCAATTTTTTATTATTAACTGATGTAAATTAGAAAATAACTTATAATTTCTCTAAATATTTTTTTATTTATTTTTTTTTTTACTATTTAATCAAACTATACTCTTGTTTATATATCTCTGAGGCTCCTTAGCCCACATTTTTGTCTCTCTGTATTATTCTAAAGGGACTCGTCCCAGAATAAATAAAGTATTATTATTATTATTAAGTGCCTCTACTCATTTATAAACAGCAATAGAGATTATTCATTCCTGGACCCAGAAGGATCAACAGCACATCAGCTACATCCTACGCACAGTTTTGGCCACAAGCCATCAACAGCCTATCGGCTATATCTGCTTGGAGGAGACCAGGAATACTGATCCAGAGCAGATTAGAGCTTAAGGGAGCGATCAATGGTATCACAATGGGAAATAAGTCATTATTCATAACGGGATGAGACCGATCTCCCTTTTTAATCCCATTTGTAATAATTTGTTTAATTTTACTAACCCATTAAAATTATTACCCCATCAGGGAAGAAATGTTTGATGAAAAATAAAAAACTAACAGCATTAATTGCTTAAATTATTCCAAATATTCCCTCACAAATATTTTATGAACTGCTCTTTCACTCTAGAAAAGGGTTCCCGATCATATTGCATGCACCGGGCCCTCCAATTTTGTACAGGTCGAAATAATGAAAAAAATGGAGAAACTGTGTATTAAAAATATATATAATAACAAATGAAAAATTCCTTTCATTCAATCCATAATCAACACCAGATAAACTATTTATTGACTTTAACATTGATGATTTCTGCAAAGACAAAAGGCACAATGACATGGGTATATTAACATAATATTCATTTTTTATTCATAAGCAGTACTTCAAAATGGATATAATTTGTTAAACTGCCAAGAATTTTGAAAAATTAAAAATAATTTATGAAACAAGATAACAAACATGAATTGACCAGTATTTTTGATTAACTTAAAATTGAAAACAAAATGAAAATAAACAACAAAAACTTCATGAAGCTAGTTTATGGTCATGCCATTGGTTTATAATATATCTAATGGTTTATTAATCATCTATTATTACTTCATTCATAAGATAACAAAGAACAAATCAAAATAGGATGGGATCAAACGTCAGAGGAAGACAAGGCACAGCTTGAATCACCGGATTCAGAAGTAATTTAAAAATTAAAAAACAATAAGGCATCAGAGGTAGATGGAATAACTGCAGAAGTGATCAAACATGGAAGAGAAGCTCTGAATTGAGAAATATATGAGCTAATGCTCAATATCAAACCAAAGGAGAAATGACAGAAAAACAGTGCCTACCTGTAATAATAAGGTATACCTGTAATGTAATAAAAACTGAAAGTTAAACTGCCATAACTAAAGGGGTATTGCAGCTTATAAAATATCTTCTCTCTTGAGTGCAGCGTATAAAATATTTTATATTCTGCTAACAAAAAAAATCACATCTGTAGCAGAAGATGTACTTAGAGAATATCAAGGGTGGCTTCAAACCAACAAGATCTGCAGTAGACCATGTATTTAAAATACGAAACATGATGAAAAATAATATGAGTAGAATGTTGAACTATATCACCTCTTCATTGACTATAAGCAAGCTTGATATCATAGATAGATTGAAATTGTTTAAAAGTCTGTGAACGTTCGGTTTCCCTTCAAAATTAAAAGATTGAAAAATGGCAAAAATAAATATACTTATTTATTGTTACTTTTTTTTTTTTTTATTGATCACCCCAACCATTCTTCTCTTCAATTGATCAAAATGACTCTTCAAAACACAAAGTGTGCTGTCAGTATTCAGGGAAATATTTTTGGAACCTTTGCCATAACGAAAGGAGTGAAACACGGAAATTCTCTTTACTCATTACTCTTTAATATAGTACTAAAGTAGTGATGAGGACGATATACACAAACCCAGGTGGAGGTATATATAATAAGCTTACTCAGCATCCTACCCTTGCTGACGACGTGATCACAGGAAGAACATCAAATGCTCTTTTTGGGCATTCCAGGAAATGAAGAGGCAGCAAAAAATGTTGCCTGAATATTAATGTCTCTAAAAGTAAATACAATACAACCTTGAAATATTGAGACAGAAAAAACTGCCTAGATGGAATAGGCTACCGTTTTAGAGTGGTATCACTATTTCAGAAAATAAAGAATAAAAGAGGAAACGAGAGCGAGGATAGTAGTAGCAGGTAACAGATGGTATTGGTACTAAAAAAATATTTTTCAAAACAAGAACTTAACAAGAAGCCTGAAGGTACAAGTGTACATAATATATACCATAGCGCCATCAGAGAGAAAAATAATTCATAATCTTGTGAGCTATTTAAAAAAAGTACACAGATAAAATAATCTCAATTTAGGTATCATATATAAAAGAAAAATACCTAATATTCCCAAATCAAATCTTCCTGTTTTCTTAGCCTGAGTGATTATGGCCTGCAATGTATCTGTAAAGTACTTGAACAGTCTATTTTGCAATTCAACAGGCATACCCAGTATTCTGTTCAAAAATTTACTCATATTGTTATGGTCTTTATCCAAGACCAAACTTCCAGGGTTTGTGTCATTGTTAACAATTAGTCCAACACCAACTAAAGCTGCGGCAACATCTGAAATAAGAACAATACATTTTTAAACCTAAGTAATAGAAATAAGAAATAATGCAATAAAAATGATAACATAAATATCAGATCATCCTAAAGTACCTTAATACAAAATAATCATTACTAGAATAAATCATTTCAAGAAGTAATCATAGTTATCTATACATTTTGTTATTAATTTGGTTTTTATGTAAATTAACTTAGTGCTACTTCAAAATTCTTGTGAACGAATTAAATTTTAGATGCTTTCAAACTTAAAAGACAAACTCCTTTTAAAAAATTTAATTTTTACGAGAAAAATGAATCTTAAATTCAATGGAGAATGGTATATATCTACAGAATGAACCATAACAAAACTTGTTTTGTAATAACAATTTCGATTCGGTTTTGCATTAGTCCATAAAGGTATTTCCATGAAAGACCTCAATTTTTCCTTAATATTGACTAAATATGATGGAATATATATATATATATATATATATATATATATATATATATATATATATATATAATTTGTTTTTTGCTCTCCTGAAAACAGTTTTTTCCCCAGGCAAATAAATGTTCCTTTTTCTTAAAAACTATAAAAGCTATTGATGACATGAAATCTTTTATATTTATAAACAATAGTTCAAAAAAGAAGCAGACAGGAGATTTTTACTAACTTTAAATTAAAAATCAGAAAAAAAAACTTGGGTAAAAATAAAAAAAATCCCAATTAGCTTTTCTCCAAATATCTTCTATAGTTAACTATTATCCACAAGTTGTTGAATCTACAAATTTACATAAATATTTATTCATTAATATTTTTTCATTAGAAATAGCTTCTATTTGAACAAATTGATAATTCCCCCATTTAAAAAAGTATGTGGAGAATTGGAAATATGTCACTATTTCTATTTATGAGAAAAAGGGTTAGATAATGAATGTTATCTGTTTAGTTAATGAATGAACATTAAATTTTCTTAAGTAAAACTGTGAGAGTTCAATTAATTACCCATATTGCCAAAGAATGTTTACTGATAAACTTATCCTTCCATTGGTTTAATGATACATTTGTTCTTAGAATTTCACCAAATATTTATAAAACAACATTGAAGGGTTTTGAATCAAATGAGAAATGCCTATAAGCATACCAGTTAAGCTACAGGTGCCAGTACAACCTCAACCAATGAATATATTAACATTTAATATTAGAAAGTACATAAAAACTACTCATAATTTGTATGTTAACAAAATACATTAAATTTTCAACATGTTTTTGATAAAAACTACCACAATTCATAAATATAACCTTTCATAAAATCTCCTTCATAGTCACTAGGTGGAGGAACAAGAGGAGCTTCATATCCCATGATGGTTCGCATAGTAGCCTCTAAAGCTGATCGGCCATACTTGTTGTCAATGTTAAATCTAGATAAATCTCTTGTTTCAGTTGCTCTTCTATCACCATGAGTTAAAGCTCCCTAGAAAAAATCAAAAGTTGAAGGGAACTTTATTTTTGAAAAGTAATAATAGTGGCTAGTATAACCATAAATAAATTTAAATATTTTACCAAACTTTCAAGGCGTTTAGCAACAATTGAAGCAAATCTCCTTTCACCTGCCAGGTCGGATATAAGAAAAATATATTCAGGAGCATTCACTTGATTACTCCTATGGGTCCTTCCTGTATTTTTATAAAAAATATTGAAATAAATATAGTATGTATTAAAAAAAATTAAATACTCAAATCGCATAGAAAATTTACAACTAAGAGCCACATAAAATCAATCTGAATATTTATATCAAGTTATATACAAATCATGTTATTTGAAAAATCTGATAGAGAAAACAAGGAAATTTTGAACGAGAAATTTATTCTAAAATAGTAACAAAAAATTAACTAAAATAATTTTGTTAGGACAAATAGAAAAAATGTCTCCTAAATAATTCCATGTCAATTCTTTTTGAGATATCTATAAACTGTATTGTGTATGAATAAATCCAGCCAACTAACTGAAAGGCCACCACCAAACCTACAAGGGACTAATAGTTCACCTTACCACTACTTGGCAGCACCACACGTGCGCGCTAACTCAATGTACCTAAAAGATGTATTATTATATCTCATTATAGTATTGTAAAATACTCAAATTGTACATATATATATATATATATATATATATATATATATATATATATATATATATATATATATATATATATATACATTGTAAATACTTTTTAATAATGAAGTTTAATGGCGATAAGGTATACTGATTAAAGCTCAAAAATAAATGTTACCCTAACGGCTCTAGATAGCAGAGTTAGTCATGGCGGAATGAAAACCGCAGTCAGATATATGGAAAGCCAGGTCCTAGGGTCTCTGCCCTTCGGGGTGACATACTTTCCCAGCAGTTTGATCAATATATTTTATGTACGATTTTAAAAAAAGGATTGATGTGTATGCTGTGTACCGAGAAACCCTACTGCAGCACTGTTTTAAATAAAGTATTTATCTCTTCTTTGATATAAAATACAATTAATACTTAATGCCAATTTCTTGATCCCACGCTGATAACATTCTTTGGAATGACTGTCAAATAACTCTTGGACCGCTATTTCAACTTCCACACAATTATCAAATTTTTTCCCTTGTAGAAAATGGGCGATGGATTTAAATAAGTAATAATCCAATGGTGCAAGGTCTGGACTATATGGTGGACGAGGCAAGATATTTTTAGGCAAGAGTTTTTCAATAAATTTTCACAAATTTCTAACCTCTTAGCTGATCGCTGAGGAGTAAGTTCTTGAGGGACCAGTATACTGCTCCTTTTGAGCTTCCCCATGGAGATTAGATGGCGACTAACAGTATCTTTCGACACACCACACTCCCTGGCAATTTCGCGAGTACTTTTGGATGGATTTGACTCAACAACTTCCTGCAGAACCTCATCAATATCCATTAATGGTCACCTGGAGCCCTTCTACCTTTCCGTCGTATCTCCACTGCTAAATTTTTCAAACCAATGCCGCGCAGTGTGCTGGTTAAGGACACCTTCCCCTTCATATTTAATAATTTCATGAGTCGCTTCAGCGGCTGTGAAATTTTTTTCCACTAATGCCTTAAAATTATGAGAATTTCGTAGGACATTGTCACGTTTCTTTTTCGAAACAAATAACTAAACTAAGGATTTTTTGGAAGAAGTCAAATGGGATTAAACAAGCTTAGAGAATGCTCTAAAGGGATTATCAAGTATTGGAAATCAAAAGTAATTGGTAAAGTATTAAATAGGATTAAAATATTTACAGTCCTCTGATAACTTGAATTTGATAAAACAGTAATTTTTTTTTTTTTTTTTAATACACCCTATTATAAATGTAATAATTGCATTTTAGCTGTTACCACTATTTTCCAGCTTCTATATAATTAATTGACACCTGTAAGGCTCTATCAAAAGTGAGTATAGTTTTTTTTTTTTAAATATATTTATTGAAATTTTGGAGTGGGGTAGCTCAGTGGTAGGGTACTGAGCTTCCAATGCTAAAGGTCCCAGGTTCGAACCCCAACTCATGGCAGAAAATTTATTTATCTATTTCATTGGCTGTGGGGCGACCCTCCTGGGGCACACCCAGCCTCTATAAAGTGGGTACCCTTAATTAAATAATTAATTAAGGGGGAAAACCTGGCGGTTGAGCGTGATCTCGGTCAAATCATCTCTTTACACAACTGTTGATCTAGAAACAGTGCTTTCCCTTTTTTTTTATTTTTTTATTTATTTATTGAAATTTACAACTGTATTACATGATAAATACCACAAGTAAATCTGAAAGCAGTGACATGACGTGAAACTACCCATTAGTAGCACTCCAATTATAGTTCAATATTAAAAGGTCCCGAGGCCACCTTCCTTTCAGGCGCCTCGGAGGGTTATCAGGAATAGAAGAAGAAGCAAGGTTAGAAACAAGACGGTTCAGAAATTTATTATGGAAGGACAGGTATCTGGAATGAGCTAAATCGGAAACATATGGTACATTAAGGTTGTTATGGATGATTTTATTTGTGACAAAGTAAGGTGCAATGAGGATTCTAAGAAGGATTTTGGATTGTAAGGATTGGATATGAGAGGAATTTGATGGTTTAGTAGAGCCCAAAACTCGATACCGTAAGTCTAGACAGGTCTTATTATAGTAATATATATGAGTCTTTTGTAAATAATTGGAAGTTTAGAGAATTTGTCTAGTAACTGCTGTAGTTGTCTAAATAGTCGAGCAATTTCCAGTCGTTTCAGTCTGATATAAGGATTCCAAGTGAGTTGTTTGTCCAGGTGGAGTCCGTCCTATGTATCAAATTTGTTAAACAGGGATAAGTGTGGTATTGTTTAAGGATACTGTAGGACAGGAAGTCGTAGGTTTAAAACAAAGGGTAAAGGTAATTTGATGGGATTTATTGGAATTTATTTTAATCCTCTAATTTTGACACTATTCTTCAAGACATGTGATGTGTGATTGAAGAGTTTGGGATGCAATTGTTGGGTAATTATTAAGTGATAAGACACACATGTCATCGGCATAGGTGGTGATGAGTGTTGGGATGGATTGGGATGTCAGCTGTATAAACTGAGTAAAGGATGGAACCTAGGACACTACCTTGAGGAACGCCAGTAAACTGAGAAAAAAAGAGATGAATAAGCATGGTTGTGGTTTACTTTGAAGTATCTCTCAGTAAGGTATGCGAGTATATTTAAGTCATTCTTTTTTCATCATAAGATTGTTTAACTATTAGTCATCTTAAAAGCTTTGTATTTCATACTTAGTGCTTTGAGATACATTTTTTTTTTCATTTAAAATTATCACAAATAAAAAAATAATAAAAATATTTGAAACAATCAAGCTGAAGATAAAACAATATTTACAATCAATTTTGAGATCTTGAACCAAGCTTCTTATACTTTGTCGATTCATTTAATAGGATTTGTAATCACTTTATGAAATTGAAAGTATATAATTATTAAAAACAACCATGTGTCATTATTAATAGATATAGTTTATACTCTTATCATCAGGTATTTTGTTTTAAAATAATGATATGATCAGTTTTTTATGACTTTTTATTGTTATATAGAACAGAAAATATTATAAGAAAGATATATTATATCATAATATTGAGTAATATTGTTTATAAGAAGTCTTTGGAGTTATAAATAATTCAAGATTTTGGTTGATATACATCCATTAATTCATATTAAAGAAAACTGTCCAATCTAAGAAAACTGGGAGAAAAACATAAAATGGACACTTATCAAAAATTAATGCTCCAGGTAAATTAAAATTATTAGCTTAAAAATTAATAGTAATTGTGACTAATTTATGACTGCACTTAGATCAATTTTATTTATTAATTAGAGTGTAATCTTAATCACTGAGCAATATACAACAAGAGATAAAGCAAGAGAAAATCCTGTTAAATAAATAAAATTACTATTAACTAATTCAAAAATTTTAAAATAAAATTCACTTTTTCATGACAGGGAGGTTACCAAGATGTTTTCCATAGGTTTCATAAATTATTAATTGAACAAAACACTGATAAATTGATTTGACTAAAAATAAAAGCAAAATTAATCCGAAATATTAAATAATAAACTGAAATAAAAAAATAAATATGTATACATATCACAGGCATAATGCTTCTCAAAATCAATCAGCACAAAATGAAAATATTACAGCTATATGGTAATTACTTTTAACATTAATAATGTTAAAAAATGATGGCAAAGAAAACCCAATAAAAATCAGTTACCAAATTGTTGTATGGCTCTGTCAGCACTCCAAGGTAATTCAAGGGTAATATGCACTCTTCTTCTTTGATTTCTAGCTCTTCGATCACTTTGAAGAGAAATACCAGAACTAGCAGCTTCAGAAATAATTGCAACATCCTTCAAGCCATCCATGAATCTTTGTTTTTCTAGAAATTAAAGGAGTATCTTTCATTAAACAATAGTTAAATGAACTAAATATATAAAAAAACAATCATGTGTAATCATTAAGGAATATAGTGGTAAAGGTGGGATGGGGGAACTAGCCTGGAAAGTGGGCCTTGCGGCCTTTTTTGATAGCCCCTGATGGGTACCTCGAGGCTGCCATAGTATACTAACCACAGTGGAAGTGTTATGGGGGCGGGCTAACGTGAGCGAAACATGAGTTGCCTGGCAACCAGATAAACAGCTGTTAAGATAATAATAGCTACGAGTTTTCATCCTGTTGCCTTAACTAGGTGCGCGTCTGGGGGCTTTTAACTCAGGTATTATTTCCCTGCCCTCACTTTTGGGCCTGGAAAACCCCAGTATAACTTAAAAGGCAAGGAAGGGGAGGAAAAACCAAAGAAAAGAGTTGAAGTGTCAAGATTGATTTCTGGGGGCCTCTGAGAAAGAAAGAAATATCAACAGACCTAGGTGGGAATCGAACCCACAATGTTCAGAATTGGGCACTCTGGGAACCAAGTATCCTTATATAAGAAAAACAATTTTTTAAATTGTTTTAAGTAGGATAATGGCTTCTATAAACTTAATATTTATCTTTCTTCCCTATGCAAGTAGTTCTCTTGGTACTTTACATTTAATGTCAGTGGGCAGGGCCGAGAACTGTCAAGTAAAATTTTCTGATTCATTGGAATATATAGAGATAATTGAATTTATAATACCATAAATCAGATCAGAGCCCTCAATTACAGCTCATAATTCTCACTCTAGATAAACTAAAAAAATTGCAACTATAGCCCATGAAACTTTTAATTTGGGTCAGTACTTAATAAGGAAAAACTGTTTCTTGACTAACAGTAGTAAAAGGAGGTGATATGGCCAGTATTCATGTCAACTGCCAGATTTTTCTCAATGTAAATTTCTAGCTAGTTTTTACAATTTTACATATTTTCAAAACACTTTAGGGGTAACAAAATGATGACTACAACAGATATCATCATGAAGCAAGGAATATACGGAGGGGCTCTGGCTTGAGAGTAGGGTGAGGTAAATCATTGGTTCAGCAAGTGATTTGACAGCATGTTTGTTAATAGTAAATTAAAATATCTGCAGTTTTACAATGCAGGAAAATTAAATTAAGAGACTTTAAAAATAACAAAATAAAAGGTGTTAGTTCCATAAATTTATTTTCTTAAACTCAATAGTTTTTGGAAACAATAATACCTTGTATAATGTTCTCTATTAGGAAGAACCTCTGTGCACCTATTAGGCATACTGTTAATAATGTTGTCACTAATTTCTTGAGAAATTTCAATCCATAGCTGTTGAAATGCTCCACTCAGTTGTTGAACGTCAACTGGCTGCAGATGGTGGTCAAAAAGCTTTCTCTGCAAAGCATCCCTCGTGTGTTCAATGGGATTGAGGTCTGGAGACAATGGGGAAAGGAACAGATGGGAAATTCCCAGGTTTTCTAAACATTGATACACAACTCTCCCTCTATGGGGCCTGGCATTGTCATCCAGAAATTGAAAATCCCTGCCAATGAGAACCCTGATTTAAGGGACCTATTCCTCGTTAATTTCTGGTGCATAATGGATTGCTGTGAGGTTAACTTCAACAATATGGAATGTAGTTCGTGCTTCTGTGTAAATGCCAGACCAGACCTTTACTTACATCACCTCCTCCAAACTGCAGTGAAGGGAGCATGAAGTGGGGTGTAGTATGTATTCCTTGTTTTCTGTTGACTCGTTACGAATCGTTTGTATGGATAAAAGCCTTACCAAAACACTTTGTTTCTTCTTAAACTCATAAAATATTGGTGATAAAAAGAATTTCTAATGATTAAAATGAATGTAAACAGATTCTTTAGAAATAAATAGTCAGTGCGATTTCTCTGACTAGTAAGATGAGAAAGTAAAAAAAAAAAAAAAACTACAAAATGTACCATATTCACTCCATTTTACAGTATATTATTTCCATCCCCCACAATAGATTTGTAAATGATATCTGCTACTAATTTCAAATTAACTGGTACATTTTTTTTGTACCCTATACCAATTAACAAAAAATCTGGTGAGGTGCGCGTATCACACAACTTTCACATACCACCCTCTTAGCAGAAATAAGTATTTTCAGACAAAGGGGAAGTAAAAGTAAAAATTATAAACACTATATTGATTTATATTTCATTGTGGGCATTTTGATTTTTATAAGTACTGTTATGTAAACAACTTTTAGTATTTGTATTGATGTAATATATAATATAATAATAATAATAAGGCTTAGCGAACCCGAAGGTTCGATGCTGACACCACCAATCGCTTGTTACACACCTCCCTCCACCGTTCGCCGTCCAAACCCAGTCCCTTCAGATCGGCTTTAATGCAATCTTCCCACCTTCGCTTCGGTCTTCCCCTCGGACGCTTACCATTCGGCACAGCAAATATTAACCTTTTAGGAATTCTCTCGTTACTAAACCCAACAACTTTACAAGCCCATTTGATTCGCCGCGATGAAATTACCTCAATTATGTTACCCGGATACATCTCACGCAATTCGGCGTTGTGTAACCGTCTGAACTCTCCGGTTAACTCATCCTTCTTCGGTCCGAATATTCTACAAACTGACTATTGATGTATGACTACAAAGTGACTATTGATGTAATATATACAATTAAATATTAAATAATACCAACAATAGCATCTATGAAAACCAAATATGTATATTTCCATAATATTGTCGGAGTCCTTATCTTATTATATTAAGCTCATGTTACATATGGAAGCATGTTCTAATCTTTCGGGTGAGCTTGGGTGGGCTCGTATTCCTTTCGTTCCTCAATTACAACTATTATCTGTTATGATCTCTTATTTCTCCTTTAGTTTAATATCTAATTCTTTCATATTTATATTCAACTATCTTTTATATTAGAGAGGAATGTGAAATGGTTAATTATTTTAAATAAAAAAAATTAAAGGTACTTTAGGGGAAGCTAATATTGAAAATTTGCTATTTAAGCCCTGTTAGAGAACATCAATCGGAATAAAACCTACATTTTATTTAAAACTGCTTAATTTTACACTGATGTACTGAATTTAATCAAAATCGTTAGGGTCGTTTTTGAGAAAATCGTAAAAATGTGTTCACTCCATGATATATAGTGCCACTTCCGGTTAGCCGATTTCGACAAAAAAGTTGCTGTAACATCCCTAGCATATAAAAACCTTAAATATTCAATGTCACTTTTGTACGATTTTTGTTTTTGAGCTAGACTGTTGAAACACACAGACCATTTTGCAGGAATTGGTTATTTAGACTCAGGAGACCTCAAAACATGTATTTCCATTTAAAACTCGGATTCGAAAATTTTCACGATTGTAATACTTTCTCTTACTATATATTTCATATACAGGTAAGTGAAAGTAATAATTGTTTTGGGTCTTCTTCTTTTAGCCCTCATAATGGCCTACAAATCAGGTCGAAATATAGGCTAGGAAAATAAACACTACTACAATATATCGTACGCATCTATTGACCACACTACCAACTATCTTCTTAAATTAGAACTATCGTCAATTATTTCCATACCACTATAATTATTGTACTTTCAAATGCGTGGGAAATCACAAAATTTTAAAAAGCATAACAATAAATTTTAAGCACAATAAAAATACTTGTGTTAATTGAGTTCAGACCTGTATTTGGTATATAAAATCCACCCATAGTAACTTCTGTCAAAATATGTATTGGCTATACTGTTATCAGGGATACAACATTGGAAATAGTATCAGGAACTTAGAAAATAAGAACATACTAGCTACTATGGGTATAATATAAAAATACTAAAACTGAACCAATATTCTTAACAATATGAAAAAAAAAAAAGAGTATTAATAGGGTGTATGAAAGAAAAAAGACCCCCTTTCAACCAAATACTTGTATTATTATTTCTTCGATGTAAAATACAATTTTAAGAATAGGTTTGAAGCTTTAGAGCTTCCTGACGAGGACCACGAGGATATTGACAAGTTATGGATAGAGATCAGAGATAATATTAAAGCGGTCGGTAACTCGTGTTTAGGAAAAAAGGAAAATAAGAATAACAAACCGTGGTTTGATGAAGATTGCTTAAACATGTGTGAAAAAAGAAAAGCCGCTAAATTAAAAGCTCTAAATAATCCTAGCGAAGACAATCTGGAATACTTCCGAATCTCAAAGAACGAAACGACAAAATTGCTCAAAAATAAAAAAAGGGAGTATCTTAAAAATAAAATAATTGAAATAGAAACTAATAGAATCGAAAATAACGCAAGAGACATGTACAAAGGTATAAACAGATCACGTAAATATGTAGGGCCCGTAACGTCTGGAATTAGGGATGATAATAACAATATTCTGACCGATCCGGTTGACATATTGAATAAGTTTAAGGACCACTTTGACAATATTTTAAATACGGGAAATTATGATCTGTGTCCTCCTTCTGAGTACCAGAGTGCTGAACCGTTAATAGAAGGACCAAGTAAAGAGGAAGTTGAGGTAGCTATCGGAAAATTAAAATCATATAAAGCAGCGGGAATCGATAATATTCCTACTGAACTAATTAAGGCATGCGGAGAAGCTGGAGTTTCTAAAATACATCGGTTGGTTAAAAAGATCTGGGTGAACGAGAAATTACCTGAAGAATGGAAAGAATCTATTCTTATTCCGATTCACAAAAAGGGTCCGAGGACGGATTGTAATAACTATCGAGGAATTTCACTCCTTCCGGTATGTTATAAAATATTCACTTTAATCTTAACCAGTCGAATCACGGAATACGCCGAGGAAATTATCGGAGACTACCAATGCGGATTTAGACGGAATCGCTCGACTATTGATAAAATATTTTCTTTACGGCAAATATTAGAGAAAAAATTGGAGTATAACGGTATTGTTCACCAGCTGTATATAGATTTTAAAAAGGCTTACGATTCTATTGACCGCC